GGAGGGGCCGGTGCTGGGAGGGAGCCCGCGTCCCAGGTGCTGGTGGTGAGTGCGCCGGGCGCTGTCTGGGGCTGGGGAGCTCCTGCTGTCTGTGCTCATTACTGAATGCACATCATTAATCAAATAGGAGGACTAGATGGGAGCTCTGCAGAGAGGACTCTGTTTGACCCAGCAGAGCCAGATGGAGACGGTCATGGTCCCTGTTCCTAAGAGAACGCTCAAGGCCGACATCTTGTATTTGGAAATCATCCACGTCTAAAGAAGGCCGTTGGAGCTGACCGCGCGACCACGTGCCTGCTGCCCACTGCTTCCGGATGTGCGCTGTGCTGGCTCAGGGCTGCATCTGCAGGGGCCCGCAGTTGAAGCGGCTTGGCAGAGCTCCCGGGTTGGGAGAACGGGAGCCCAAGCTTCAGGGKTCGGGGACCACCAGACCCGGGGACCCAACCTGGCGGGCTTTGTCCTCAGTTCCAAGCTCGCCCACCTGTCCYGAAGCTTCTCGCTCACACCCCAGCCTTCTCTGCCTGGTGGAGGGGAGCAGCTGCCCCGTGAGCTGGGTCACATCCTTAAAGTTCCAGCAGAGAAAATGAGCCACAATGAAAGAAACGCCATGTCTGGTTGAGCTCCCATCCTGTTCCTCAGGAGAAGGGCGTCATGGGACAAGATGGTGGCCTCACCACCCCGTGGCTTGACTGGGAAGGTGACTGGGGACTCTCCAAGAGAAAGATGTACCACCTACCTGTGGCATCACACAGCTGTGTGCCCGCTGCCCTGCTTTYCACCTGGCTGTGCCCCAGCTCAAGGGGGTTCCCTGGGAAGGAGGGGAACTATGGCTATCTTCTGACATTTGTAAGAATTTGTTGCATCCATGTGCACCTGTGTATATCAGGGTTCCCACTCCTAATTTTTAGGGTGTTGGATCCAGTTCTGTAAAGAGATTCCGAATTCTCACACCTGGTTCCCTCTCAGCACAGGCAGCCCGTTGCCAGTCTACACTGCAGGCTGCTCTGCGTGGGCTATTGTGACCCCCTTGTATGGAGGTCTCTAACCTGCTGCAGGGTTCACCTGAGCATTTTCTGAACATGCAGGTGACAGGGAGGTCTCCAATGCCCAGGGAAGGCCAGATGCTTCTTGGTGACACTGGGGGATTGGTGTRACTTCCATCTGGGACCCAGATCTTCCTGACATGTCAGAGGGTTGTGAGAGAGTCACCCAGTTCGGAGGCTTCTGTTCCTTCCTGCCTCTAGCCCTTTACTGATGCCTTCTAGCACAGAACTTSCCCTCCCAGGGTCAGTTCAGGGCTTGGCTCAGCTTTTGGAAAGGAAGGGTGCTGGACCTGGCTTTGGGGACGGGCACGGGGCAGTTGCCGTCAGGATGGTGTTTTCTGGAATCCACTTTCTTTGGACTTATCCTTTGGTCTYGGGCATTTGGGCCCCTTTAATCCTGGGAAGATGAAAGTCCTTTGTTAGTGCCTGTGAGCTCTCTGGCCTCAGAACTCAAAGGCGGCCCTGGCTCCAGGGCTCCAGGGCTCCAGAGCAGGCTTTTCTCCACGAGCTTAGACAGATATCAACTCTGGACACTTATTTAAACCCCAAATCCTGGGTAATCAATTCTGGAACTTAAGACAGCAKCAGCCACATTTTTTCACTGTTAAGYACCCGCAAGCTTCGGTGTGCTTTAGTCTGCGAGTACAGCAGGCCTGGGGCGACCTTGGTGCTGGCCACGAATTCACTTTGCACCTGAGTTGAAAGTGCGTYGAGTGTAGCCGTGGAGTGGGAAGATGAGATTTGGAATTTGGTTTGWACTTGGAATCACTCACGGCTCATTTTGTGTGCACGTGGTGGGGGCGGTGAGCTCACAGTGACAGTTTCAGAAAGAACGGGAGGGACATCCATGGTTCATGCCTCTCCATGTCTTCAAATAATTAATGAAGGCAATTCACCTAGGAAGCTGTCCCAAAGCTCCCACAAGTATTTACAAGAAATTTAGTTGCCTACTTTATCTGTGAGTTCCTTTAATTAAAAAAGAAAAATCTTTAAAACCTCAATAGCTGACCTGTCTTAACAGTACCATACACATGAAACGTGTTTTGCATAAGCTGGGCGCCGTGGTGCACACCTGTAATACCAGCTCTACCAGGGACTAAGGTAGGAGGATCACAAGTTCGAGGCAACTTGATGAGACCATGTCTCAAAACAAAATAAGAAAGGGCCCAGGAAATAGCTCAGTGGTGCTCTGGGTTCAATCCCCAGTACCAAAAGAAAAAATCAAGTTATACTTAGCTGCTGCAACAACCCCGGGTTTGTGATTCTGTCTGTCTTTGTCGTTGGGTGTGACTTTAATGACTGTACCTGTGCTTATGTCATGCTTACTCAAACGTGGCCTTTCTGTTTGGTCTATTGCAATTCTTGTTTTCTTTTGCAAGTAAATTCGTCGCAGCTGAGCCACGGGGTGCCCACGTGCACCCTGCCTCTCCTGCACTGGCACTCACCGACCCGGCTCTCCTTTTAGCAGCCCTGTCACGGTGGCAAACACGTATTGCTGCCATCTGCCAGGCACTGTCCCAAGTGCCAACTCCGTGGCTCTTGGAGGAAGAGGAGGCTCACAGAGCTTAACCAGCGGCCAAAGGCGCTGACAAGACAGTGGTGCAGCTGACAGCTCGGGCCGCTGGGCTCCGGAGTGTGAAGAGTGTGGGCTGCAGAGCTCAGCACCCGCTTTGCCCGAGGCCTTCTGGAGCCTCACTGGGTCCCTCAGACGGTGGCTGAGCCTGCGCAGTGTGGGGCACATCAAGAGGGGCACTCGGGAGACATGCTTTTTGCACCGTGGTTCCTCAGCATCCTCAGTTGTTCACTGGAGGGCACCCACCCCCTGTGCTCGGCTCTGGTGGGTCACTGGGTTTGCATTCTGATGGCGTGGTGGCAGGGTCCATCCTGCAGCTCAGAGGAGGCGGTTTGCTGGGGACCCCCTGCATTCCAGGCAAACACCCCACTGGGCTCCTGTGTATGATTGCAGGGCGGCCCCTGCTAAAAGCTGAGGGTGCTCAATGAGACTCTGCCAGCCCTCCTCTGCTGGGGTAGGAGCAGAAAGGGACTTCATGAGAGCTGTCTGCAGCAGGGCGCCTGCAGTGTCCCCATGCTCCAGAGCCCTGTGCACACCTCTAAACAGAATTAGCTAAGGGCATGTTCCCACAGTAGCCCTTCCCCACCTCCTGACAGAGTCCCTGAGACTTGAGYTGGTGGAGCTGCAGAGAAATGAATGATTGAAGAGCTAATTGATAGGACCTGGTGTGGACATGGGACCGTGACAGGAGGGGAGGTACCKAGGTACTCTGGGGAGTCTGACTTGAGCACAGGCATGGATGAGGGTCCATTCAGCTGAGCRAATGTTAGAAGAGAACCAGTTTGAGCAGAGTTAATTCATGAGAGCTTTGGGAATTAATTTGGAATTGCTTTTTGAGTCCTACAACTGGAGACATGAAGAAGGTAATTGGATGCATGTGCAGAGTCAGGGGAGACATCCTGGCTTGAGATAAAGCCATCTGCACGTGAGGGTTGTCTGCAAGGGAGGGCCATTTGTTTGTGGGGTCATTTGCATGTAGGGAGGGGGACATTTGTATGTTGGGGTTTTCTTCACGCAAGAGATTGTATGGAGGGGTCATTGACATGTAGGGATCATCTGCAGGTAGGAGTTGTCTGCCCATAGGGGTCATCTGTCCACAGGGGACATCTGCATGTGGGCTAGAGCCACCATGTGTGGGTGGAGGAGTTCTCCCCTGGGAGCCTGTGGGGTATGAAGAGGTCAAGCCCGTGTCTGGTTTGGGTGGGACCTAGGTTTGAGTCCCAGCTCTGTGACCCTGGGAAGGCCACTTGACACCTCTTGGCTCTCAAGTGCCTTACCCAATGTGATCGCTTACCATCTATGGTGGCATGGGGGCTGGAGGAGTAGCAGGAGGCAGGACGGGCCCAGGCTCTTTGCCTRGCCTCCTTACCTTGGGGTCACTTTTCTCTTGGACTGTCTGTGTCTTGGTGTTGGCCACCTGGGAGATGGACGTGCTTTTGCAGTCTAACGTCAGTGCCAGCAGAAGGGGCTGGGCTGAGTTCCTTTCCCTTGTTTTGTCCTGGAGCCAGTTCCAAAGCTCCCGGCTCCGACCTTTGCCTTCCTGCTGTCAGCCCACGGCCGTGGTTGTGCCCCTGGCTGCTGGTTAGAAATATCTGGGGGTGCTTTAAAAAGAGTGCGCTACCCCCTCCCCAGAGCTGTGGCTCCCGGCTCAGGGCAGAGCACRCAGCCTGAGCTACTGTCCACTCCCTTCCCAGTGCCTCATTCAGGGGCCTCACCATGGGACCTTGAAATCTGCCTGGATTGCGGCATTTACACCATGGAAATTGGCAAACTCTACAGACCAAGGCCCAGAGAGCTGGCCAGTAAACGTTTACCARCCCACCACGGGTCAGGGCATCCTGATTTTTTCAGAAGCGTCCACAGTGACTTATGGGCAGCAGGCCTGAGAGCCACTGGCCCGAGGTCCCCCGGGGAGGCCCAGTGAGCCCCGKGTTACCCACAGTGGCTAACAGTCATCTAGTCCTGAGAGAAGGCAAGCTGCTTCTGTGAATCAGGGCACTCACTCCTCGCAGCATCCCGTGAAGGAGGGTCCTCATCAGTTTTTAAAATGGTGAAATGGAGTCCAGATGGTCTGCCTGCACCTTGTCCAGGGCCACCCTTCTAGTTAGTGGCTAAGGGGGGACTTGGAACCAGGTCTGAGCTGCTGGAACTTGAGTGTGGTCAGGGCTTCCTGGGTGGCTGTGGGCAGTGCCCACTCTTCCCAGCGGGTTGGATGAGAGTGAGGCTCTGGTTGTTCCTGATGACCATGGGGTCCGAGCTGCAAGTAGGTCATCATTGTAACCAGGGTCGCGGTGGGCGAGGCTGCCTGGGCAGGGTGCTGGACTCTGAGCCGGGACGGGAAACCCAGAGACTCACGGGCACTGCTGTGTGCTTTCCCCCTCCAGTGGAGCACGACAAGGAATTCTTCCACCCACGCTACCACCATCGGGAGTTCCGGTTTGATCTTTCCAAGATCCCMGAAGGGGAAGCCGTGACGGCAGCTGAATTCCGGATCTACAAGGACTACATCCGGGAACGCTTCGACAACGAGACCTTCCGGATCAGCGTCTACCAGGTGCTTCAGGAGCACTTGGGCAGGTGGGTGCCGGGGTCTGGGGGCCGTGTGGCCTCCAGCTACTGAGGAAGAAAGGGTGTAGGCCCAGGATGGGCCAACAGCTGCCACCGTGGGTGGGACACCAACCACATCTGGACTTGGTGTCTCTTTAAAAGAGGGTGCATGATGTGCGTCACAGTTTTCTAAGATGACCATGGGGTCATCTTATGACCATGGGGATCATCAGCAAATCTGGGAAGGAAGGCAGGAGGCCAGGAGGCCCGGGGTGTATGGCCCTTGCAGGGATTGATGGGTGGCCTGGATCAGGTGGGCCCAGGGGGAGCATCCTGGTGATGGTCTCCCACTCTCCGATCTTCACTCTGAGGCCCCACGTGGTGTCAGGCCACCAGTGAAAGTGGCCATTGTAATAAAATGTAATTAGAGGGAACACAACCCTAATCCCCCCCAAAACATCCAGAGAAGTCCCAGTGTCAGAAGTCCCCAGGTCAGGAGCCAGAGTCGGTGCTGAGACTTTAATTTCGGGCTGTGACACTCCTACTGTCCCCTGCTGCTGTGACATGGTAGTTCATGAAGAAGGGTGGTGTTTGCCTCTGATGGTCAGCCCTCGCCCTTCGGGTAGGAAGGGGACGTGTTGACCACAGACAGCAACCTACAATGCACCGCCGCCTGCCCGCCGAGTGCCGCTGTCACGGGGTCATCTTGACCGCGGGGAACACGAAACGTCAGTGGGAGGGCGCTTGCCTGGCATGCGTGAGGCCCTGGGTTCCATCCCCAGCACTGCAAATAAAAGGAAAAACAAGGCAAGAGAATGAGGCTGGTGTGGGGCGTCCCGTGTCTTGCCTCACCTCACGTCACGCTCACGTAGCCTTCTAAGGAAACTCTGCAAAGTGAGAGGAGAAGTAGCCAGAAGCCAGAGCGCACGGCCACCTGGTGAGAACATGGCCACATGGGGACTTGGGCCAGGGGTTGGGAAGAAGCTGGAGCCGTGCCTACAAAAGTATTTCCTTCAAAACTTATACTTGGATAGGTAAGGCTCCCCCCACCACCATGGAGGCCATTCCTGTCCCTGACGTGGCCCCCKCGGGTCAGGGTGGCGCCACGGCAGGTGGTCTCCTCCACACTTGCCTGTCCATCTGAGGTCCTAGACTGTGGGCCACTGGACACACATGTGGTTTCTGGGTTGTTCCTGTGGAYGTTGTATGGACGTCTCTCCTCGAGCCAGGGAGGGGACAGGGCCGGCTCCTCTGCGCTCACCAAGGTCGCTTAACAAGCTGATAATCCCTGTCAGTCTGACAGGGGACAGAGGGTGTCCCTGTGTGGTTTAAATCTTCCATTCCAGAGGGCCCCGCCCAGGGCCACCCTGTGCTGCTTCCCTGCTCGAGGGGATGGTCCTGGGAAGGAGCTGGGATGCYGGAAGGGCAGGGCCAGTGTCTGTAATCACCTCTGGGTCTTCCTAAAGGCTTTGGGGCAGGTGCCCTGGCAGCCTGGCGGGCCGTACCTGGTCCCTAGGCACAGCTTCCAGAGAAGTTTCGGATTCATTCTTGGGGGTTTTAGAGGTTTGTCTACCCTCTGACAAACGCCCCAGGACTTTCTTTATTGTTATTTTGCAGAGCTGGGGATGGAGCCGGGGCCTCAGGCGTGCTTGGGGCTCCAGCACAGCCTCCCCCCAGGACTCTTGGACAGACCTGTGCTTAATTTTTCTCATGAAGGCGGGTGACTTGGGGCAGGGCAGGCACCCTGAGGCTGTTGGTCAGCAGCACTAACTGGGCCCACTTGTRCCATCCTTGAGCCCACTCCCCCCACCCCACCGACCTCCTGGCAGACTCCCCAGATCTGCCCTCAGCCAGCGGTTCTCTTTGCCCTGCTGCGGACCAGGTGATTGGGCCTGGGGGCGCCTCTGCAGCCCTGTGCTGCTCTTCCCTTGAGGGGTATCTCCATCCATGGCTCCCAAGTCCTGTGCTCGCCTGCCCTGCTCCACCTGGGGAAGGTGCTGGATGGACGGTCAGGGATCAGCAAGTGGGGCCCGGGCTGCCGACGTGGAGGTCAAGGCTGCTATGTTTGCACAGAGACKTGGGTTCCGTGATGTATCTGTTGAAGCTCCACTGAGCACCCCACGCCAGGCACCGTTCTCAGAAGTCAGATCACCAGAGCCAGTGAGARGGGCTCACGAGGGCAGGCCTCATCCCATGTTGTTTTGGGTACCGGGGATTAAATTCAGGGGCACTCGACCACGGAGCCAGCTCCTCAGCCCTATTTGGTATTTTATTTAGAGACAGGGTCTCACTGAGTTGCTTTGTGCCTCGCTTTTGCTGAGGCTGGCTTTGAACTCGAAATCCTCCTGTCTCAGCCTCCCCAGCCGCTGGGATTACGGGTGTGCGTCACTGCGTCTGGCTCATCTAATGCTTTGATTGAGGGCGTTATCTTTCCTAGGGAGGCGATAACAAGACCGCAGATTGGGGTGGCTTAAAGCAGCAGGGCTTATTCCTTGAATTCTGGACTGAAGCTCTCAGGGTGCCCTGTTCCTCCTAAAACCTGTCTGGGGTCTTTGCTTATCTCCTGCTTCTGGTGGTGACCACTGGCTGTTGTGCTCCCAGGCTGCACATGGACCAGCCCCATCTCGGCTGCTGTGGTCATGTGGTTCCCTGTTTTCCCATGGGTTCTCCTTGTRGGGCTCTTCCTCTTCTCACACAGGCCTGGGTGCCACCCATAACRGATTACGCCTGCAGAGACGCTACTTCCAGATAAGGTCCGAGGCCAGGTGCCAGGTGTTAGGACCTGAGTGTCTCTAGGGGGCTCTGATCCAATCCTTGCAGGATCCAGAAAGTGAGAAGCAAACACAGGAGCCAGTAAGCAGACCAGACAGCTGTTGGGACTGGCTGGAGCAGGTGTGTGGGCAGGTGTGCCTTAGGTAGGGTGGTCATGGAGGGCACTGAAGGACAAGAAGTCTCTGCAGCAGAGGGTGGGGCTGCAGTCCTCAGGTCAGATGGGCTGATGAGGGTCGTGGGTCTTGCTGAGGGTGAGACGGAGCCTTTACGGGAAGCTCTTTTTTTGGGGAATTGACTTGAGGGCTCTGGACCACTGAGCCAYGTCCCCGGCCCTATTTTGTATTTTATCTAGAGACGTGTCTGACCCCCTCTGGGGTCTCTGCTCCCTGTGCTGCCTCTGACACTTGCTGACTTCCTAGTCACTCGGTTCTATCTCAGTTTGAGGTGGCTGCCTCCTGCCCCTTACAGGGATCTAAGGGTGGGTCCTGGGTGCCCAGGTGGGAGAAGGCCTGAGTCACTGCGGCTGATGGAGGGAAGGTGAGACAGGTGTCCTCAGCTTCTGGGCAGGTGGCCAGAAGTCTGTCTCTGATGGCTCTTGGCTGGCTGGGAGGTCATGCTCCTTGTTAGCCAGCGTCCCAGCAGAGGAGGTGACCACAGGGTCTGGGACAGCTGGCGGGCAGGACGTACCTGGCAGCCAGGGGGCAGAGTTGGAGGCGGGGGCGGGAGGAGGGCTCGTGCTGTGTGGGTTGCTCGGTTTTCTTCCTGTGCCAGAGAGAAGGATGAAGAGCTCCTCGCTTCTCCAGAAATGAAAAGGATAAAACTTTTAAAAAGTTTCTTATTCATTTCCCGAGAATCTTGTTTTTAGTGTTGACTCTAGAGCATGGATTCGAATCCGGCCACCAGGCACCAGAGTGGCCTTGGGGACCAGGAACCTCAGGGCCTCAGTTTCCTCCTGTATAAATTGGGGGTACCTGGCCCTCCCTCCCAGGCCTGTGTGGAGGGAGAAAGGAGTTGACCTACTCAGGACAGCGCTTGCCACCTGGGGGGTGCTCACTGCAGGCTCAGCGGTGGCCCGGTGGCCCGTCATCGTGGGAAAGGGAGAGCTGCTGGCTTCGCCATCTCTGCCTTTTCTTTGTCTTTGGCTAAATCGCTGGGCTTTGTGGTCGCTCAGCGGGAGAAGGTCTGAGCTCAGGATGCTCTGTGGGCCTCCAGGCCTCTAGCCTCTCACCTCTGCAGGGGTGGAGCGCACCTGTGCTGCCCCTAACCGGGCCCCTTGTCTGAGTTCCCCAAAGAGCCCAGATCCCACCCACCACCCCGGCTGGCCTTGGAGCCACCCTGGTCTTTGTGCTGAGGAAGCCGTGGCCTTGCGCCAGCAGCTGCCCAGCTGTGCAGGGCTGAGACATCTGGCTCCCTGGCACGCTCTGCTTGAGCTCCAGGAAAGCCCGGGGGTGCCGGGGATTAGCCGGCTTGGGTCGGCCTCAGCGTCTCCCCTCGTGGGAGTCACTTTCCACCAAGTCCTCTTGATCTCTCGGAATCCAGATTAAATTCCGATAATGAGCTGAGCTGGAGGCCTTCCATGGCCCTGGGCGCTGCATGAGCTCGGCCCCAGACAGCTGGTGAGACGTGGAGGAGCCGCCCTGGGCGGCTGCGGAGCAAGTGGGGCTGCGAGGCAGGTCTGGGGCTGGTGGCCTTGGCTCTGGGCACCTTGCGGAGGGTGGGGAGGTGAAGGGTTCGGTCTTAACCCCSTTCTCTGAATCATGGCCTGAGTCTGGACAAGCTGGGCCTGGCTTCCAGGGACTGGACCTGCCCGTCCCTGTTGGCTCCAGCTTTGGTTCCAGCTGCTGGGGAGGGTGTTGGGGGGGGGGTCTCTTCAGTCATGAAACCAGGCCAGAGTGCTCCATCCCAGCCTCCCCAGCCCAGGGAGGGACGTGTTGAGAGCTGGCCTCTGAGAACTCTAGGGAAGTGGAGGCCAGGCCCCCCTTGGCCACCACCAAGGTCGAGATGATGTCGGCAGCTGGATGAAGAATGTCCCTTGCTCCATCTCAGGGATTTTGGCTGCCAGCAGGGTGACCTCAGAGTGGTCTCCTGTGCCAAGATTTGGATCAGCTGCAGCCTGAGTCACTCCGAGGAAGAGGGGCTGTTCTGGGCCTGTCCCCCACAGGGGAGAGGTCTGCAGGGGAGGCCGAGGTGTGGCTCACAAGCTCCTTTCAGCCAGGCCAGCCCTCTTGTCCCCACCCTGCCCCGGGTGGGAATGTTCT